CAATGGTTTGTTGCATGGCAGTCACCCTGTCTGCCTCTTGTTCCCTGTTGGCTAAATCCTCGGTACGCTCCTGCTGGATGACCTCAAATTTACCAAAAATTTCAGCTGCCTCTGTGGCTGCTGTTTGCCGGTCTCCTTCAGAGTCGCGGCTGATGTTTTCTATGTCAACTTCGGCCTGGATGAGTCTGCGGTCCAGGTCGTCCAACCTTTGCACTAGGCTGGTTTTTAGATCGGGCACCATTTCCACGATGGGCCGTAATGCGTCAACCGTTCCCTCAAGGGTCGCGATGCGATCCCCATAATTCACCATGGTCAGAAATGGTGGTAATTGCAATGTGATCCCTCGTCCGATGTCGAGCCTAGGCTCTGATACCAACTGTTACGCGGCGCCTTCCTGAAGTTCCTTGGAAGGGCGACGTAAGGCTAGGCAACCGATGTCAGTACGGTTGCTGTCCGCCAACTGAGGTCCCCTCCGTACGCTAGACTAGATTGTCAGTGCCGTACGGGAAAACCAATGTCATGAGCAATTGAAAGAGAGCAGAAAAGAGAATTGAGAATGAAAGAAAGCTTGATTGCATTGAATGAAAGCTATTACAGAAAACAAGACGGTGTCGGGGGGAAGAGACACCAGTACAGAGAATTGTTTGCTTGCTTGAAAGTTTTGATTGCTTGGTCCCCCTTAATAATGCTTAAAAAAAAAAAACCAAAGTTACATGACTAGACCTATGAAAGCTGGAAAATCACACTTAAAGAAAATGCAGCAAAACTACTCTATATTTACAATGAAAAGGACTTAGTCTTCTACAAAGCAGCAGCAAGTCCGTTGGCAGCAACTTTGTCTTTAGCATCAGGGTCTGCGCGCGCGGCATTGTCTGCGCGCGCGGCGCTGTTGGCTTTTGCCTGTGGCTGGGCGCTGGCGATGGCTATCGGTGGGGCGACAGAGGCACATGCGCGCTTGTCACTTGGAGCTGCCGAGACCACGGGGCCGACCGTGGCGACGGGCGTTGGGAGGCTGGCCAGGACGCCACGGGGCGCGTCCAAGGGATCATGGGGCATGGCTGGAAAGCCGCCCATGACAGATATCATGATATGGGATTTACCTACAATGTCCTAACAGCTCAAATATCAAAAGTGAAAGAAGTATTCTCTTCGATGGAAAATGTCAAGTGTACGGTGTACCTCTTGAAAAGTTAATGAATCAAACGGAATTAGTTGTGTCATAAAGTCCGCCAAATGAAGTGGAAGAAATTGAAGGAAAAGATGACATGGTCATGATGTCAAGTCTGGTGATATTTTTGTTCATTTTCTGCACATTGCCCAGAAATATGTTTAATTATAGGATGGAGCTTTTCCATCTTCTGTAAACCATAGAATTAATAACTCTGATAATAGTTGGCACTTCAATATTGCCCTGAACTTTGATGCTAAATGGTTGTACTTTGACTGAAAAATCTCCTTTTTATCCTGCAAACTGCATCATTAACCTTTTCAAAGACTTCTATCTTTATTTGATATTTTGTTAAATTTTCAGTGGAACAGATAATTAGTCTATTTCTATAATCTCTAGCCCGATTAATTTAATTCCTTATTTTCTTCCTCTAGATGATTTGGTGAATGCTTAGACTTGCAAGAAAACACATCCAATATAAAAATGAAATGCCCAATATAGCACCTATAACATGGGGTTACTTCAGCATGAAAGTAAGTTACCAAAAGTCAAACTCCACAAATTATAATATCCCCTTTGTAATGGTTCGTACTATGTGCTCATTTTTCAAAAGAAAGGAAATAAAGATGGAGAAAAGCAAGTTTCTAACAAGTCTAGTTCTAGTACTTGTGTTGTCATATGTGAATGCAACAATATCAGGGCCTAAATGGCCTAAAACGAGCAAGCATTTCGTGCTAGTTCACGGGGCTTGCCATGGAGCCTGGTCTTGGTACAAGATTATGGCGTCGTTAAAAACTTCAGGACATAATGTAACAGCTCTGGACTTAGGTGCTTCAGGGGTCAACCCGAAGCAGGTCCTTGAAATCCCACATTTATCGGATTATTTTAGTCCGCTAATGGAGTTCATGGCTTCTCTTCCCGCAGATGAAAAAGTAATTCTTGTCGGTCATAGCCTTGGTGGATTTGCCATTTCTAAAGCCATGGAAAATTTTCCAGAAAAGATTTCAGTTGCTGTATTTGTCACTGCTCTAATGCCTGGTCCAACTCTCAATGCAACCACCATCTTTACTGAGGTACCATTCCTCCATATTGCCAACTTTATCCATGAGATGATCATCTATTATGTTAGCTTACACTTTCTCATGTTTGAAAATTTTATACTTCATTACAGTCATCCAAGGCAGCAATATCTGCACTTGATAATCGTGTTACATTCGATAATGGACCTATGAATCCTCCAACCACCTTCAGCTTTGGTCCGAAGTACTTGGCGAGTTATCTTTATCCCCTGAGCCCAATTCAGGTAATTAAGCATAACAAAAACAATAAACTGAAATAGCTCAATACTGGTATTCTGATAATGAGAATGGCCCTGAAGTGACTTGTTTCACAACATTAATGTGGAACCTTTTTTTCTTTAATTTTATATTGTGGAACTTATAACTGTGTTTCATTTTTTCCCCCTTTCTTGGTATTAGGACTGGGCACTGGCTACTACAGTAGTAAGGCCATTATATTTATACAGTTCGGATGACATATCAAAGGAGATAGTTCTTTCAAGCAAAAAGTATGGATCAGTTAAGCGAGTGTTCATTGTTTCTGCTGAAGATAAAGTTCTAACGAAAGAATTTCAACAGTTGATGATTGAAAAGAATCCACCAGATGAAGTGGAAGAGATTTCAGGCTCTGATCACATGGCTATGATGTCTAAGCCCCTTCAACTTTTTACTCTTCTTATGCGTATCGCCAACAAATGACAAGCTACCTTGATTACATCTTCATGAATAATGCATAATTGAAATAAAATCAGATTACCCTTGTTCTCACGTGTTAAAATGATGAATCAGTCTTTTGCTCATTGTGTAAAGATTGTGGACACTGTTGTACATAAGCAAGTTCTTAATTCTTGGGCTTATCACTTGGCATCGGGGGTTCTGTGAAATGGTTCCTTCCTAATTACATCTCCATTACATGACATTGACAAAATAATAAAACTTCTAATAATTCCATCACAAGTTGCAATTGTTTTCATCAGATCATAGATTCCAAAAGTTAATGTACATATATGTCGTGTTTGGGAATACAACTGGAGCCCCAACTTAGTACTTACCTTTGACTTGCCGAGATGTCTAAGGAACAACATGGGATAAATAACCATGTACTCAAGATTATAACACGACCCTTTTTAATGTCAAAATCTTACTTAAATTGGCGGGTCATGGAAAGCTTTGCAGAAAAGATTTCAGTTTTGCTTTTGTTACTGAAATGATGCCTGGTCCAACTCTGAACATTTCATACCCTCACGAAAGTGGTTAAAGTGTCTTTTCTTGAGTCATTCTATTTGCTGAACACACTTGGTTCTAATTTTATTCAAAGAAGGACATTGGAATGATTTGATGAGATTTAGTCAGCAGTTGACTTTGATATTTGTTAACTAACTGTTATTTTATGCAGCTAGAGCCTGAATAACTTACTTGTCTAATTTCTTCCTCTAGTTGACTTGATGAATTATCAAAAGTACAGAAAAGATATTCAATATAAAATGCTCAACAAACAGTACTTGACGTGGGGTTGCTTAAGCAGGGAAGTAAGTTAGAAGGTCAAACACCTCGAGTATCAAGATTGCCTTATAATGGGTCATATATTGTGCTCAGAGTTCAAAAGAAGAGAACAAAAGTTAAATGGAGAAAATCAAGTTTCTAATAAGTTTAGTACTGATACTTTTGTTTCCATGTGTAAATTCAACAACATCAAGGCATAAATGGCCTAAAACTAGCAAGCACTTTGTTCTAGTTCATGGCGCGTGTCATGGAGCCTGGTCTTGGTACAAGATTATGGCGTCGATAAAAACTTCAGGGCATAATGTAACAGCTCTGGACTTGGGTGCTTCAGGGGTCAATCCAAAACAGGTTCTTGAAATCCCACATTTGTCGGATTACTTCAGTCCGCTAATGGAGTTCATGGCTTCTCTTCCTGCACATCAGAAAGTGATTCTCGTAGGACATAGCTACGGTGGGTTGGCCATATCTAAAGCCATGGAAAGCTTTCCAGAAAAGATTTTAGTTGCTGTATTTGTCACTGCTCATATGCCTGGCCTAACTCTAAATGCAACCACTCTCTTTACCAAGGTATAATTTACCTTCTTTATCTTTGCTATGATCTCTTCTGTCAGCTAAAACTTTTTCATGTTTGAAACTATTATCTAGTTACAGTCTTCTAGTGGAATGGTATCTCAACTTGATAATCGTGTAACATACGATAATGGACCCACCAATCCTCCAACGGCCTTCTTCTTCGGTCCAAAGTACTTGGCGAGAAATGCTTATCAGCGGAGCCCAATTCAGGTAAGTATAATAGTGAAATATCTCACCTTTGGTATTTTGGTCATGATGTTTGCCCTAATATTGCATGTTTTCGCCAAGTATTATTAGGAGACATCATCTACTTGGAGAATTAGCTCATTTACATTACGATTTATTCATATGGACGCTAAGTTGTGTCTCTTTTTGCTCTTTTGGTGTTAGGATTGGGTGCTTGCTACAACACTAGCAAGGCCACTTTACATATACAGTGAGGAAGACATATCGAAAGAGATGGTTCTTTCAAACAAAAGGTATGGATCAGTTAGGCGAGTGTTCATTGTGGCAGCTGAAGATAAAACTCTACTGAAGGAATTCCAAGAGTGGATGGTTGAAAAGAATCCACCCGACGAAGTGGAAGAAATCCCAGGCTCCGATCACATGGTCATGATGTCTAAGCCCCTTCATCTTTTTAATCTTCTCCTGCGCATTGCACAGAAGTGACAAGCTTCTTGATCCAGCTTGTGATTTCATATTAAAAAATAAAGCATTCTGAAATAAGAAAGGGAGTCTTGGTGTAACTAATAAAGTTGCTACCATGTGACCAGGAGATCACGGTTCGAGCCGTGGAAACAACCTCTTGTAGAAATGCAGGGTAAGGCTGCGTACAATACACCCTTGTGTTTCAACCCTTCACCGGAGCTTACTGCACCGGGATGCCCTTTAAAAGCATTCTGAAATAAATTATAAAATTGCTCATTTTCACTTGTGCAAAGATTGCTAAATCAGGTCTTCGGAAGATGGAGCCTTTTTTCATTTTGAGTTTTATGGTTGTTTGACCAAAAAGTATAACTTTCGGCTAAACTATTAAATTTATGTAATAACAGGTTAAATCTAGTTAATGATAATGACTCTAGATGCGAATCTTGAAAACATGTGTGAGATGGGACAGATCCAGTGAAGTGTTGACAATGATAAGCACAAAATGTTCATAAAGTACGAGCAATAATGGAGGTGTAACTAGCGATAAATAGCAATAAATTACATTTAAGTAAATAGGAGAAATGATTCGCTCGATAAAGGATGGATTTGACTAATGTTCCTTCTAACAATGATGAATGACAGAAAAATTCAAGATTTGTTCGAACTATTCTCGAATATGGTGGAAAAGTGTGGAATAATATGGGCAAGAATCTTGATAAAAAGGTAATCTTTGTATCTTTATGAGAGAGAGAAAGAGAGAGAGAATCTTTTTATAAAGTCTGCTCTTATCACAATGAATATTACATGCCCCTCTTCCTTCTCTTTTATCCTTATTTATTTGAGACATATCTCTAGCAAACCCTAATAGTACAAGTGCAGAGAATATTCACTAAAATATTCTCTTTAATATCCTATTTAAAAAACTAGCCGTTACTGCTTTCTCAGCGGTGCTTGACCTCGGTCAATATTGACATCTCGACCACGAATCTCGCGGCTCCCTAGCCGACCTCGCCTGACTCTTTCCTTAATGCTATATTACCCTAAATATTCTAGGGCGAATTTTGTCCTATACAGTTAGTCCCTCCGCTTAGTGAGGCCGACCTCAGGCGGGCTCGATAAGCGGATATTATATAATGTGGTTGAATCATTTGGATAACCTGGACGAGCCATGATGATTGGGGCGAGTTGGCAGCGTGTCCCTTTGTGAGCCGTAATTTCTGGGGTTGTAAGTCCCACGAATCAGGATGATGTCATGACGAACAGACGTCATTATGATGTAATTTCCCGATACGTTGCTTCGTTTCACGTGCATTTTCCGATTCAGTCTGCCACTTCGGTTACAGTGCCAGGTGATGATGACTAATTCCTTGGTTTCGATGCTTGAGTTTTTATAAATAGGGGTGTGTGTGTAACGTTTCAATTTTTACGAAATCCTTGCATAGAAGAACTCTGTATCTTCTTCTTCTTCCCCTATTATTGTCTTCTTCTTATCAGAATCCTTAGCCTCCTTCTTCTTCCTCTGTTGTCGTGTACTTTATTATCGGTTTTAGCAATTCTCGTTGCTTCTAACACTTCATTGCTTTAATATCCTCCCTTAACAACATGGCTAATGTACCCTCTGTTTCCGGTATGGAAACTGACCCTGTCCCTTTGGCGGTGCTTATACACCCTCATGCTGATAAGGTCTCTGTCGCCATTGAAGAAGATAATTTTCCTACGATAGAAGAAATAATCCCTCGTAGTGAGAAAGTTAGGTCTGATTTTTCGAAGGCGCCTGAAGGTGAGCCTGAAGTCTCGGAATCAGTGATGGAAGAGGCCGATCTGGCCGAGCTTAGGGCAAAATTCAACATTCCTGCCCATATCGATCTGGTCCCAACAGGACGCAATGTGGTGCAAATTCACCGCCCCGAATATTGCTCGTTCTATGCGTATCCTTTCTAGGTCGGCAATACTCTCCCCCTTCTCCCATTGGTGGAGGAATTTTATTGCTATTACGGTGTTTGCCCGGCCCAACTTTCTCCTTACAATTACAAGGTTATCAAGATGCTCTGAACATTTGCCGAATTGGCCAGAGTCGAGGTCATACTCCGCCATCTGATGCATCTCTTCGCCCCTAGCTTTTATAGGGGGATGATGTTGCATCTTCACTGCCGAGGAGGTAAATTCCTGGTGGTGAAGATGGACGACAAAGCAAATCATCAGTTCTGTCTCAACTACTTTTTCGTCAGAACCGAACACATAGTGGCCAACGCGAGCGACTTTCCTGAGACTTGTAATCTTGCTCGTAAGTATCCATTTTTTGTGGAAGGTATTTTATTTGTATGTTTCTAGTCGTAGGCTCTAACACTTTGTCTCTTCCTTGTACAGCCAAGGCTACGCCTCCTTCTTTGGTCGGGGACATTTCTGAGTGAGTGGCCGAGCTTTCTCAAGAGGTTCGGGCCTGCTTCTTCCCTGGCCGGTGAGTTTGTCGATTATATATTATTTTTTTGTCTTCTGTTTTGACCGCATGGTCGCTTGCACGTTATAGCTTATTACTGGTGGTGACAACCTACGTTCATTCTTTTTCAGTTTGGGGAACTTCGAAGAGGCCGAGTACTCCTCCTCCTGTGTTTCGTAAGAGGAAAGCTGCTTCTTCGGAGTTTGTTCCTGCTGTGACCACGGCTAGGCCAAGTCGTTCATCTTCTTCTGTTCGTTCTTCTACCGCGGCCAGGTCTACTCGTTCGTCGGCCATACCTACTACTACTTTCGTGCCAGCTTCTTCTGTGCCCGCAGATATATCGTTAACGGAGCTTCCAGCTTCCCTTTTGCTTCATCTAGTAGAAATGGAAGAGGAATCATCGTCGAGTGATGGGAATTTGGTTCCCCGTAACGGTGGATGTCGGTGATGGGTAACCTGATGACGATGGTGATGGTGAAGGGGCAGATGGGGATGGCCTAGGCGATTAGGCCGATGGCGCTGTTGGGCCAGGCGGCGATTAGTAGCTTTTCTTTTCCTTCTTTTGTTTTGCCGCAGACTTGTGCATTTTTTGGTAGGAGTCCTCTCGAGCCTTTGTAAAATATATTCTGAGTATGAAATACTAGCTTTGTTATTATTACTTGATTATTTTTTCTTTTGTTCGAGTTTGTATGCTTT